TAGTATTTCATTTTTAGTGAGTTACTCAGATGAGTACCAGGAGACAGAGTTTGGTACTCACCCCACACAAAGCGTGGTCCTCCTCAGTGTCTCCTTCACTGTCCTCTATTTACACTTCTTGCATGCTAGATGATGAAGATGCACCTCCCTGTCTCTTTTTAAGCCTCCGATTTGCTTTCTCCAAAACTTGTTGCCAAAACTGTGAAGTCCTTGCATTTCCTGAGGCCAAGTTGAAGGATCAAATACTAAGATATTATCACATGACTTGAAGTCATATCTGATTTCAGATGTGGGAAGTTAGTACACTTATTCAAGTACTGTACTTAAGTACAATTTTGAGATATTTGTACTTTACTTGACTTTGATGCTACTTTGTACTTCTACTCCACTACAGATCAGAGGTACATGGTGTACGTTTACTCCACTACATGTATTTAATACCTTTAGTTACTTCACAGATGTGGATGAATAATGTGAAATATAATCAAGTGTTAAATCAGACTTTAGTTCCACCTGGAGTAGATTTTTAGAAATACTAACATATAAACTACGCATTATGGTACACTCTAAGAAAAAATTAAATACATCTGTTACTACCCGACATATTCATAATATTTTATTCCATTGTTTGTTTTTCACTTTGTTCTGAAGCTGAACGTGCTGCTCCACACAGAGAGAAGAGCAAAGAGGAGAGAGTCTGTGTGAATTACTTTAATTTGTGGGTACGGGTAGATAGCCCCCATTGTTCTGTGAACCTGTCAATCATCAAACCGGGGGGCATATTTCATTATGTGTTCATTTGTATCTGAAGTTGTACCCATGGCCAGGGCCTCCCTACAGGCCAATTACGCAAGCTGCATGGGGCCCCGCCCAGAGGGCCTCAGCTGCTGTGCGCAGTTCTCCGCGCACCCCCCTCTGACACGCGAGAGTGAGATATGACAAGGGGAGCACGCCTGTGAACCGACACCGTTGCAATGAATCGACATCTGACCAATCACGGCTTTGATACGGCCACAAGTGCAGGTGAAGAGATGTCGGTGAAAAGACAGTTTCAGTCCGGGGCAAGCAAGAGGGGAAACATGAAGAAACTAGAGCATCACTCGAAGGTGGGTTATTGTATGAGTCAAATGTACAACTTGCGAATGTTGTATAAGTCAAATTGCCAATTGCCATATTAAAACATCAGCTGCAATTCACGACATGAAGAAGGCAGTCTCTGCATAGTGTTATGGAAATAATTGTCATAGACGCCAAGATGTGACATACAGGACAAACCTTGATGTCTGTTTACCTTCTTTAAGGACACAGGCTGCTTAGCCAATAATGTTATTGTTCCCATTCTGTGACCGGTCAATACTGGGTCACAGATGGTCTGTGTTGTGGGTACACTGGGACACTTCCTTCTCTGTATTTGTGGAATCCAAGGTGAAATCTTCGAGGTCATAGGTGTCCGACGCAAGTAGCTCAGTGTTCCCACACTGTTTAGGCTATCTTCTCAAATATGTTGTTTACTCTCTGCGAAACCAGTTAGATGGGCTGGCAAGAGAGAGGCTCTCCAGAATTGACGTGGCAACTCTACCGTGAAGTCAGAACCTCTGACTCTTGGACTTGTGATGTGAATCCTCCGGCCGTTAACTCCAAATAAACCATCATGTGTTTGACATCAAAGCTACTGCTCCTACCGTGTCTCCTTCCTGAGTCGGTGACTCCCACTGCATAGCTACACAGAAGTTTCCTCTACACATAGCATATGGGCTAATGGAGATGCAGTTATTTCCAGCATTTTTTATTTAACATTCATTCAAGTATGGTATGCCTTTTATCTGCTACAGTTAAAGTTTACAGCCTAAAAAACATGGAGCATTTTTTCCCCTTTTATTAATTTTTATGTCAATTTGCACATTTCATGGTGACGCTCAGCCTCTCTCCTTAACTCCTAACAGTCATCATCATGTCAACCACAACACAGATAAATACTGAGAGAAATGTGTGTGTAGTTGTTGACACATTGCTGACAGAGGGAACTACATTTGAATACAGATTTAAGAAATGTCAGATTTTGAGCATGTTTTGTCTTGACTATATTACAACTATATTATAATAAAATAATATAGTATTTATATTATTGAATTAATGATTATTAGTAGAAGTAGTTTATTTGCATTAATTATATTTTAATCTTTTTGAGGCTAGTATTTGGCAGGAAATGCAGACGTATTCACCTGTAAACACATACTGAACGAAAGGCACATTTACCTCACTGTATAAACAAGTAACTGTGTTGATAATAATAATAAACAGGAATTATATTTGCAAAGTAGCCTACTTTGTTTCCAAAAAAAATGTGTTCACTCCTGTCGGTTGGGGGGGGGGGGGCCCCAACCGACAGGAGTGAACACATTTTTGGCCTCATCTCACAATCTCACAATGTCGCTTGGGGCCCCAAATTGTCCAGGGGCGGCCCTGGATGTATAAAGAGTATATACCGCAAAGTTATTCTCCGTGGGGACTTCCGGCAACAATCTTGATTCTGATTGGCCAGAAGACTCGAAAAAACATCAGCAAAGATGTTTTATTGAGAAGATGATCACTACGTGACAGAAGTTTTCAAAACCGTTTATGGTCTCCGGTACTTCCAGTCCAACGCCTACTGCATGCACAGCGTTAGAACATCGGGCCTTCAAAAATAAAAGTTTGACTTTTTTCCCAAAAAAAAACAAAACAATTATAATAATTATAATATACATTTTTTCTTCACTCACATATCTGCGACCCACTAGAAACGGGTCCGCGACCCACTAGTTGAGGACCACTGATGTAGAGTGCATCCTCTATTCAAAATGCTTTTAAAACTTTCGTCTTTTGTCAAAATCAATTTGATTCGCCTTCAGATTCCTCCACTTTGCCAGAACACAAGCAGAGACTGGATTGATCGTCAAGGACGCTGGACTTTGTGAAGAGCCAGAAAATGTGTGTGTCAAAATAACAAAAATAAAGGCCCTCTTGAGTTACATTTACTAAACAGTTCACATTAATGTCAAAGTTATTTTTCTTTTAAAGGCTTTCGGTGCAACAGAAATACTGCTTTGATTCACTTTTGATTTCCTTCACTTCTATTTCATTCTTGTAAGAATGTTTTGTTCTTTTGTCAAGATTTCTCAAGGTTTGAAAAAAGTTTAAAACTTTTGGAAAAATATACTCAAAAGAATATCTGAAAGTTGGTTTAAGACATTTGAATGCAGAAACATTTAGATTTTAAACATCTCCTATCATGCTATTTTTAGACGTATATTCTGGGTCTCAGATATATATACAAATATTTTAAAAAACATATAATGTGTTTTGCTCAAAATACCAAAATAGAAAAGAGGGGGGGAGATTATGCTGAGTATCTGATCAGGAGAATTCTACCCAGATACAGCTAAATGCTGCACATTGTTTCTGATAGCGACATTTCTGATAGGGCCGTGGGTGTAAAGCCAGTCCACATTTCAGATATGTCGTCATATCGGCAGCAAATCAGAATCAGCTCCGTTGTATCCCCGTTTTTAGAGATGTGGGTAAGGAGGAAAAGAGAGAGGGTTGTATTTTCTGACACTTTATGAGTTCCCTGACACACCGGGGACACATATTTATGTATACAGGACATCGAAAAGTGCATTTTGCATGATAGGAGACCTTTTAAGGGGTTTAGTTTTTTCAATCAGTGTTGAGCTGCTGTTTTATCTTCCTATTCAACTATTCAGCTTCGCCGGCTCCAGGGCGTTTCCACATTGCTGTATAATGGCCTGGCACTTCTGGTTAAAGCTTAATTGCTATTACCTTACATGATGTCACCAACTCTGACAACCTTTACTTGCCAAATAAAACATTTTAAAGCTTCTGTATGAACTATTAAGCTATGAAGGATGGACGGAAGGATTGATGGATAGATAGTTCTAAAGCTAAATAGCTAAGATGTGCTAGCTAAATAGCACAATGACAGGTTCATTGAGTTGGGCTCTAGGTTAAATCGTTTGTATAAATGTCAACACTGTGGACCGGAAGTTGGAACTCTTTGTAGATTACCTTCATTTTGGCACTTCCATCACTTTAGTACTTACAGTAGCTGTTCAACACATATGTTGTATGTGCTGAGATATCCAGATTGAGATATCAAAAAAATGAATAATCTTTTATCAGCAGCGACACCATGTGCACTTGTCTACTTTCTTCCCGTGCCTCAGATCACTTGTGCGTCGCCCCTTCATCTCTCATGGAGCCTCCCAGCTGAACCTCAGGAATATTAAGACGCCGTGCTCTGTGGCGTGTTCGCAGCAGCGATAGCGCAGTAATGAGCACTGTTGTTGAAAGTAAGAGGGATAAATAATGGAGCCGGGGAGCAGAAAGAGAGTCTCTGTAATGTTGGAGGGCATCTATTATTTACAGGCCTGTGAGAGAGGTAGGAGTGTTTAGGAACGGTGCTATAGAAGAGGAATGGCTGTTTCTGAACTCGAGAGCACATATAGCTTTTCTGATTTGTCACATTTATGTGATGTGGAGAGAGAAGCACTGTCAAATAACATTCAGAAGTAGACAGAGAAATAACTGCAGAGAGCAGGAGAGAGCAACAAAAGGGAGGGATGGTGGAACATTTCTCTGTGGAAGAGTATGCGTACTCCAAGAAACAGACGAGGCACAAAAGGCTTCTGGGATTGAACACAGGGGGCTAGGAACGGTCCAAAGTGACACTTGTGATGATCAAGTGTCACCACAGAGGTGGCTGGGTTTGGAGACGGAGATTAGAGAGGCGACTGTTGCTGACAAATAACCAATATCTCCAGGAAATACACAATGGACGAAAGAGCCATCTCTCAAAGTGACGGCTGTCCCTGGAAGAACCCCAGGAGGTTCTGGTGATGGAAGTAAATTAATATGTTGTGACGTTCTCCCTTGGGGCTTCTAGTAAACAAACGTACAACAGTGCAGAAATACACACATATCCAAACACACACTCTTACCTGTCCCGTGGTGTAGCTGTTGACGATAACAGCCAATATGAAGACAGCCATGGTGCGATGCTCAGCCTGGAACAAATGAATAAACTGTAAGATCTTATGTCCACACATCATCTTTCATTTTACTTTCTGAACCCATAGACTGGGCATGTCTTTTTGAGTTTTGAATTTTGGTTGCAACTATATTTTTGTTGTGGCTGTGTCGCCATCTTTGGCACCAGGAATGACACAAGTACACACGAATATGTCAGAATAAACATCCCTGAACTGAAACCACACAGTGAAAGGTTAAAGTTTCAAACCAGTAACATGTACAGCGACTTGTCAATCAAAAGGTAGCCCGGTGCTTACCCGGCTTTATCGTCTGTTTAACTTTTAAAGGGACCATCATTTACTAAATGAACATCATGCTATATTCAAGAAGGTTTCAAATTCAGACCATTAAAATAATAAATCAAGTGAGAAGTTTGGTCCTTTTCTCATAGACTTCCATACAATCAGACTTCTTTTAGCAACCAGTGGCCTCACCCCCTTCCGGCCACTAGAAATAATGCTGTTTAAGGTACTTCAGCATTGCCTTTACGTTTTGAACCACATATTGCTGAAGTGTAAAGACAAAGTTGATGGACAAAGTTTCTCTGAGGATGCAGGTCTCATTATCTGTCCAGAGAATGATCCATTAGATTTGTTGCTGATGTTTACATTTCCTCTTAATGCATATTTAAAAAAACAAACATAATAGGATGGAATTATTGCTTTTGGTTTTTATCTTTTATCATATGTTGCTGAATAACAATAAATGACCCTTGAATCTAAAGACAATCCCACATTGGTCACTTTATTCACAAAAGGGCTTGGTGGATACTCACCGGCATATAACTGTCGGCCAACACCGACAGAAAGTACTTGTGTCCGTTGTCCTTCACCAGGTCAGCTTGGCACGACTGCAGAGAGAAAGACAGAGAACAGGAGGAAGAGGAGGAAGAGGTTCACTTTACTGCAGAGGTTGAGTTTGTCTATTCCTCCCATGGCCCTGAATGCATGTCACTTTGTTCACTGAAATTACTGCTACTCCTTTTTAGCCATGGTTGTGTACTTATTTTATTACTAATGTGTGCTTTCTATTTGTATTATTTCATGTCTCTTTTGAGTGTTTATAATCAAGATGTTGTTGTAACGTCTGTTAAAATCAAGATGTTTATTGTCTGTGATTCTGAATCATTTATCTTACAGTCTACTACATACAGTGTTTCCCCTAGGATTACTGCTTTGGGGGGGGTGCTGCCTGAGCGGGGGGGGGGGGGGGGGGGGGGTGGCATTGGGAAATATATTTTTTAAATCCTCTGGAGCAGAGAGAGGAGCTGTGGATTATTGTTATTGATTAACGCATCAGTGTTTCTTACGGTCTCTACACACGGCGGCGTGTGTTGTCGCTTGCCGGCGGGCTTGTCTGAAGCTCGTCCAACAACCAATCACCTGAATCTCCCGCCCCGGACACACAGGCAGCGGTTTGATTGGCTAGAGCTTGTACTGGCATATGATTCGATTGGCTGACGCTTCTGTCAAAGCTTCAAAAGTAGAACATTGCTCTACTTTTGCAGCGAGCACCGCGAGAAAAGCTACGCTTTGCTCCCACAATGCAGTTCGGCGAAGCGTGACGTCACCCCATTCAAAGTGAATGGGCAGAAGGCACGCCGCCGTGTGTAGGGGCCGTTAGGGTCAAAAACACTAAACTCACAACTTAAAATGAAAGCGTTTAGTTTATTTAATAAAAGAGCACATGTTCAATGTGAAAAGTGACAGTAGATATAGATTAGTTGCAATTTGGTGCTATATATATATATTAAAAAAAAAAGAATAATACCGTTGGCGGTGACATACTTTAGTTTTCAGTCTGTTACATAAATTGCAGTACAGTTTACTCTCCAAAATCAAAGTCAATCGTTTGAATTTTACTTAATAAAACTGTAGCAATTTCATTCATTCAGATTTTCAATCAACCAAGAATAATGAAATCATTGTTAATTTGTCTAAATTCTGACTGACCCCAATTCATCTGCTTTAATAAAAGCACACAGGGTCTAAGATGCAAAATCATCAGTGCAATGACAATATAAATCATTGTGCACACTTCACACAAAATCAAATTGACTCTGAAACGTATGTTTTATTTTTCTCCTACTCCTTGTGTTTATCTTCATTTCCAGACAGATGGTATTTGTATAATGACAATAAGCTTGTGATGTAAAACTGCTTTCTAAAAATGTTAAACAATTCAGGATAGTAAGGAAATATAAGGCATTAAGTGCTTCCCAGAACGTACACTGTCCACGGCGAGGATTTTAGCCCAGATGAAGACCAGCAGAGGCCGCAGCTCTCTGGCCGAGCTCTGGAGCAGCTTCAGAACGTAGGGGAAGATCCCCACTGAGAGGGCCTGCAAACACAACCACACACACACACACACACACACACACACACACACACACACACACACACACACACACACACACACACACACACACACACACACACACACACACACACACACACACACACACACACACACCACACACACACACACACACACACACACACACACACACACACACACACACACACACACAGTAGTGATATAGCAGTTAAGATGGAGGCTTTGCTACTGAATGGTTTTCTTTTGCCTGAAATGTAAAAATGAAGACAATTGCTGTTTAGTTTGGAGTTCCCATGTCTGTCCTTTTTAGCTTAGCTTATATTAGCTTAGCATAAAGACTGGAGGCTGCTAGCATACTAAGATACTTGTATAAATCAGAAACCTGAAGCCACATGTCTTACATTGAAAGTGCATTTAGAAGAGATGTGTTAATGGCCTGTATCAACAAGTGTAATGAGTACGAAAAGGAAACCCTGTTCAAAATATCACAAGGGACTGACTATTGTCTTAAGTTGGACGAAGGAATGGGGAACTTACTCTAGTAAAAGAAGCGAATACAAAAAAAGGGTCTACATCCAAATTACACAAGACATTTTTCTCACATAAGGTAACACATATTGATGTTTTTCAAGGTACTGTTTGAAATTGGAAATTCTAATATTGTTACACCAGAACCTTTTGACTCCATTCTAAAAGGCGTAAATTATCAGCCAGGGTTTTTGCTGCTGAATAAAAACACAGCATGTTGTGCTAAATATATTGTTATTTGTAATGATTGTGTGGATAGTCCTCTTGCGAGAGAGGGTTTGGCTTTTATAAGAAAACATTCTTTTGTATATAAAAATTGCATTTATATGACGATTGGCCTTCCTACATAAATAATGACGGACTCTATATCTATAGAATTTCATGGTATGCTATGCCTCTCTGTGAGCATCTAGTCCTTAACGTACCAGACTGACGGCCCAGGGACCCAGATCCAGGAAGCGTCCGAGCAGGTCCAGAGCTCGAAGCCGATGCACCTGACTGAGGAGGACCTGAAAGAGAGCAGAGGTCAGAGGTCAACTGAGCTGCCTCCAAACCGAGAGGAAGCCTGATCAAAGAGGAAGAGGAAGAAGAGTGGGAGGAAGTGCAGAGAGCCTGGAGTGAAGCAGGTGGCTCTCACCACTAAGACACTGGCAGCAGGATGCTTGTTTTCTTTGTGTGTGTGTGTGTGTGTGTTGGCGTGTGGCTGCGTCCTCTTGGCTGTTTTTCACTTGGCATTTAAAGGAGATAAAGGTTTAGGACAATTCCCCAGTGTGTGTGTGTGTGTGTGTATACACTTGAATTAAGGTGTATAGCACTGAAGCCAAATGCGATCACGACGTAGCAGTTTTGGCAAAAGATAATATTTAAAGGAGGCATATGGTATGCGCTAAAAATGTATATTCTAAGTGTGTGTGTGCACACACAGTCTGTGTGAAGGCTGGACACCGGTCCACACCCTTATCCCCACAGTGTGTGTGGGAACAAGCATATGGAGGAACCCACGTCCACACACACACACACTTCCACCAACACGAGGTATTCTTAGCGCTCTCCGTGACTTCACCCTGCAGAGACCACCAGCCGGAGGAGGCGGGGGGGGGGGGCTGGGGGAAGACCGGCCCGGGGCTGCCTCCATCTCCAAGGAACAGCGTGGGAACACGGACATGTACGTGTGTGTGTAGGTGTGTGTGCAAGTGTCTGAGACATAGATCTGTGCTCTATAACAATAAGGAAAGCAGACACGCTCGATTCATCCAGGGTTCCTACACATTTTCTATTTTAAATCTCATATTTCCTGACTTTACTGTATATTAGGAAGGATTTTTGACAAAAGAGTACAAATAAAAAGATAATTATTCATTGTTTTTGAAAATGAATTGCCATGCTATTATCTTGCCAAATAATATCCACTGTAGCTCATACAAATCAACTAACAAGAAAAAGTTTTTCCACTGATATGGGCATTTCAATTACAGATATTTAGAGAGCCGATGAGGACCCCCGCCCCGGTGTGTGTGTGTGCATATTTGCCTCCTCATTTGCTTAACACCTTTAGCGCGATGAGTAAGTGTGTACGAGCTGCGAGACGCACGCGTCACCTTATGTGTGACATCACTCCAGTCCTGCCTGATGTGAATGTGCTGCTGTAACCGTAACAACACAACACAAAGAGGCGATGTAATCCCTTTGCAGAATCTGTTCATCCTTCCTGGATGAAATGGCTGTTGTCAAGACAACCCTGCATCGTATCTTTCATTCCTGCGCTCTGTTGTCTTCCCTTTGCTCATTTCATTAAACAGCATTCTTGATGGAGCCCCTCTCTGTTGCCCATTTTCTTGTAGCTCATTGCATATTTTCAAATGGAGCCAGATCGTAAATCTTCTGAGAATAGCCTTGTCTTTTCACTTTATTCTTGTGCAACTCAAAGAGATAAGACCTGTTTGTATGTCCATCCGTTACACCAGAGAGTGTAGAGGAGCTTTGAGAGGAGTCTGACCTTCAATCTGAATAATGTTGTATATTCTTCCTTTTTTTCTTTTTAAAAATGATCTTTTAAGCCACCAATGCCTTTAGTGGGGAGTTGAAAGGGGGGGCCACATAGTCGATGTCACACACAAACGGTTCCAGGTGGGATTCAGACCTGGGTCTGCAGTGGGGCATGAGTCCCAGTCAGAGGTCGCGTTAACCGAATATTTTCCGTCTATGACGGATTTTTTTTTAACAATGACGGAAAAATCTGAAAGCCGTCCGTCATTTTGATGGATTAGAACAAACTCAGAACAGCGCCACAGTTTCCTTACAGCGAGGCTCCGGTGTTATGCCGTGTTATGCATGCCCGCCCAAAAGGAAATTATACAGTTTCCAAACCTAACTTTGCCGAACAGAACTGAGTATTTGCTTTACGCTGTGCGCGATCCCGCGAGGTGCAATGGGCATGCATAACACGGCGCTAACAGTCCCCCGTTGACAGTTCACGAGCGTGCTCTCCCCCCGCCCGGCAGAGTTGTGTACAGGCCGACGGGTAATAATGGATTTTGACGAAAATATGTTACGATCCTGCCCGTCAAAATGACGGGCAGCGAAAAAAGTCTAGCGCAACCTCTGGTCCCAGTACACAGTATGGGCTACCAGCTATACCAGATTATCAATACAGCTGCACTATGTTGTGTAATCTTAAAGAGGACATACTCTGCTCATATCCAGGGGTTCATATCAGTATGATATTTAGTTTCTCTACTGTGACATGTCTCCAGGCTTTAATGTTCAAAAAGCTCTTTATTTTTCTCATCCTGCCTGTGCTGCAGCACCTCTTTTCACCCTCTGTCTGAAACCAGAGCCCAGTCTGCTCTGATTGGTTAGCTGGCCGGCTCTGTAGTGATTGATCAACCACTCAGAGATGTCCCGCCCCTTAGCCTATCACTTACAATATGTTGGAGCGCTAGCCAATACAAGCAGAAGTGTTACATAGTGATGGCATAATGTTACTGAAGTAAACAAAGATGTCCAATGGAGGAGTTTCAGGCAAGGGGGGGATTTTTAGCCTTTGCAGACCATTTACACACGAACACAAACCTATAGAACACACACACACACACACACACACACACACACACACACACACACACACACACACACACACACACACACACACACACACACACACACACACACACACACACACACACACACACACACACACACACACCACACACACACACACACACACACACACACACACACACACACACACACACACACACACACACACACACACACACACACACACACACACACACACACACACACACACACACACACACACACACACACACACACACACACACACACACACACACACCACACACACACACACACACACACACACACACACACACACAGCCTTCTGCCTGCCTGTTAACGGCTCCCGACAGAACTGCTGTATGGACGTGCTACGGCTCGCAGTGTGCTGATTCAGCAGGAAATTACCATTCAACACGGACAGCATCGCAACACCACTACGCTGTGATATAATACAAGAGCACAACTGTACAACCCTGGAGGATGGTGCTGGAGGGGGGGGGGGACATCCAGCTGCTGTAACTCAACAGCTGACGCACTCTGACCAGGGTTCTTCAGCCATATTCCAGCCTAATTAAAGCTTCCCAAACTAATGTTACACCCCCACAGGGAGCACAGCAGACACCGCTCCTGTCACTGACTTTTGTTGCAGGGTTGTAATGAAGATAACTGGCCAGAAAACGCAGAACTCAATCTAGAGCTAGAATTTTGCAGTGCATTTCTCACGCTGTGTTTTGTATGGAGGAGGGGGGGTGGAGATAAATAAAGGGAGGAGCGCAGTAAGAATAGAAGTATTGCTCTAAGGCAGGGGTGGGGGGCCTCCGGGCCGTATACGGAAAGCGAGACCATTTGGTACGGCCCTCGATGTAATTTATAAACACTCGCAAAAAAGAAACATTTTTAAGAACTCTAGACCGAAGTGCTCTCAAAGTGCACCAGGTTGATGCTTTTAACTTCAACATTTAAAAACAAATCTTCCCGGGGGAGCATGCCCCCGGACCCCCCTAGAGGAGGTTAGGTCCCCCCCCCCCACTTAAATCATGTTCACATGGATAGGATACTAAATACATTTGCACACATCTTGTGTCCATATCTTTCTGTTTTGGTGGTCATGCCACACCGTGCACGTGCATGCAGGCGCGAGTCATGGTGAGATTTCTGGATCAAGAGGTTGCTTTTTCTTTGCACAGAATGAAAGAAAGGCCAAATGAATGGGCTGTGATTTTAGTTTTTTTAAGCAGAGGTCAATAATTTGTACGGCCCTCGGAGGATGTTGAAAAAATTGAAATGGCCCTTGAGAGGAAAAAGGTTCCCCACCCCTGATCTAATGGGTATTTTCAAAGTCAGTGGTAGACTCTATGCAGGTGTGGTGTGTTTTTCATTTGCTCCTGTGTAATAGGAGATTGAAGCCCTATTCAAACAGTAAATATGCAAGATTGGTGGCTTTATCTATTTCTTAAATTCATGATTTTCCAAAAAATTGGTCTCAGTTACATAAGTCATTTATTGGTGAGATGGTAAAGTGGCAGATCGACTGTTAATAAGGTGCAAACCAAAACAAATTGCTACATCAGCTTTTCACTTCTTGAAAATGAATTTAGGCTTCAACTATTATGAAAGCGGTGTTAATATGTTGAGATTATCCTGCTGATTAGTACGTGTAGGTATCAAATGTGTTTGCCACAGATCTTATTTTTTACAATTTTCCAAAATCCAATGAAACAATCTCTAAGCCTTTTTGTCGTGGGAACTCTTGCCATTCTAACTTCCTAACTACTGCACTACTCTTTTTCTAAGAGGTAGATAAGCATAATGAAGAGATGCACAACATGTACATAAACTGATATTCTGGGAGGAAGTAGGAGTTAGATTTGACAAATGTATTTGCAAATAAATTAGCTGAGATTAGCTTTTTTCTACATTATTTTATTCAATATAAGTATGTATGGACCTCAGCTTGCTTTACACCCAAAAATGTATGTTATATACAAAATCCACAGACCAAACACTATTTAATGTGTGTGTGTGTGTGTGTGTGTGTACCTGCAGTACGATGGGGAGTTGCTCAGGAGGGTTTCTGTTCTCCACTCCCATGGTCAGCCACACCTGGAACGCCGTCAGCTGCTCCGCAAAGAAGGGACTGTGCTGTGGACACAAACACACACGAGGTTTATCACCATTGTATCACTATTCCTCTTCTCTCCCTGCCTCACACACACAGTAGTGAGCCAGTCCGCAGTGACTAGCTTATCATTTCATAAGAGCCCTGACACAAGGAGCTCAGAAGTGACACTGCACTGCAGTAACAACATAAATCCTGATCATCATCTCCCCCCCCCCTCTCAGTTGGCAGTTTGCCTGATTGATTGTTCGCCGGCTGCAGAGTTTTTGATCACCGAGTGTTAATATTGCAGTGGGAATTACGACAGCGCTGTGTAGAATTCTGATGGATGTAGAGAGGGGAAAAATCAACGCTTCGCGGCTGGATGGCTAAATTAATTTGTGCATAATCAAAGCTTAATAACTCAGTACACACACTCACAGTCACTGATACATGAAAAAGTGGTGTGTGGTTGTAAAAGCCCGAGTTTTAAGACTCCTCTATAGTGTGAAGGTATAATGGTGCATTTTTAACTGGGACCTTATGCTTCATTAGCATCTTCAATTCAGAGAGCTCCATGCTTTACTCAGTGTAATACTTAATTACCTACTAACTTTTAATACAAAAATACTAAATAAGGGTTACTGCAGAATTCAATAAGTTCAATTTCAATCTGTTTTAAACCTTTTTACCACAAAGAAAGCTATTTGATGTTTTCCAAAATAGTAACGCTTGATTAAAAAGCTGTTTTTCATTGCATCACAGATAACACATTCAAATAATTCCTATTGATATAAATAATTAAATGAACGTGAAACTAGATAAACTGCAGAAAAGAGATTGATTCTTTCAAAAATCATTTATTAATTCAGGTATTTCCTTAAAATTAACAGCCCAATACTGTAGCTACAGGACTGATGAGTGAAAAACTTCAAAATAAATAAATAAACACATTATTTCATTTCTTTTATGTATTTCAAATTTAGATTCTTTCTTTTTTTGTTTTACAGATAGTCATCAATTTATCTGAATCTTATTTGTCAATTTCGCTATCATTTGATCAATGATAATTTGTGACGTTATTTATTAAGATCTTTCAGTTGAAGATATGGTGGCCAACAGGTGCCAATACGCTACAATGTCCCAAAACACTTTAGGAAAAACGCACTGCATTTTGAAAAACAATGCAAATATAAAACACAAATGTGCCAAAACACATCCAGGGGACACTAAAAGGTGACGCACACAGCTGGGACCGGAGCACCAGTTGACGCTGGGGGATTATAAAGTTGGCAAACTGTCACTGTTGTTAGAAACTTCCCTACAATGTAAGGTTTATCGGCTTATTTTAACAAAGTGATCGCAAGATTCCTTCCGATATTATTGCAGATCTGCTGTAAGATAGCTAGCTTTCCTAGTCATTTCAAATATACTGACAAAGCACTTACAACTATGAATCCGACTAACTAACAACTCATTTCCATGTGTTTTGGCACATTTGTGTTTTTTTATTAGCATCGTTTCTGAAACTGCAGGGCGTTTCTCTTTTGTAAGGCATTTGCACCAGTTGGCCACCATAGAGTACGAAGGCAAAATCCAATTAAGTAAAGGAAGATTTGAGTATCGTCTGTGCTGTGTTTGTGATGTTTATTTTGTCTTTTGTTCCCATTTCAAGGGTTATCAACCTGAAAAGACAAAGAAAAATAAAGGATTTGAGTTATCCTCCAGCCTTTCAAGCTGAGGAAGACATTGACAACGTGTTCTGACCAAACGTCTACAACAGAGGATTGAACAGGCTCCTGTGTGTAACATTCACTGATAGTTTCATCTGCAGATAAAAAAACATTTTGTAACAAAACAAACTATTTATGACTTTTCTAAGTTACTCTAGATGGGACTTTTTAGTAGCTTCAAAGTCCTTTTAAACTAGGAAACAGAGTTGTATTTACCCCCAATAATGCAGAGTGGGTGGAGGTGGGTAAGTCAGCCCTGAGTCCTGCCTGCAGGCTTTCTTTCAGGCTGCATTGAGACCCAAGAAGCTAGGAGCAGTGGGAGAAAATCTGTTCATTTAAGAATCGAGATTCTAATCTTCAGATTCTGAGGAGATTCACAAATTCTAGTTAAACAGGGTGGTTTTGTGTACTATTTATTTTTGAGATTCTGAGCAATAAAAAGGCAGCAAACCCAAACCTAAGCATGTTAATTATGTAATAGGCCGCTTTTATAAAAAGTAACTATGGACATGAAACAATCTTCTATACACATTTATGGTCCAAATGGGTGAAACGGTCCTTTTAAAGGAGGTGTATCTCTCTTTCTGCAGTTGGAGGGGACAGTTCAGAGGCAATAACACGGGGGGGGGAATGGATTCAACAATTAGGTCTGAGAGACATTTAGGTTTATCCACTCAGGAGCTAACACACAGAAGGATTACCAATATTAATTTACAGTACAAACACCATTTTGCAAATTACAGGATGGAAGCAATGATTAGGAGAATAGCAGGAACGTTTTGTCTTTCTTTAAAAAAGAATAATAGTAGGACGTGATGCTTATTGCTATTTCAGTACCAAAAGCAGCAGAATAATAAAGGCTAATGATTGCAAAACATATTTAGAAGAACAGCAAGTGATTACATAGAGAAACACATACTATATGTGTTATTCCCCTAATGCATATGCAGGGTATATGCAGGAATCCTGAAGTCAATTTTTAAGACCCTTTCCATACATTTTAAGACCTCATCGTAACTTCGAGTTCTAACCGGTTACATTGGCGACACACTTTACCTCACATTTACTATATTGATTGTAAGATAGCACAACTAAACAGAGTGCAGACAGACTACTGAAGCCTCCTCTCCACATGAACTTCAACCTCTCTGTGAAGGTCAGGTTTAATGCAGTATGCTGCTTTGTTGCTTCTGTACTCTGTGCTCTTTCATTCCAGTCAAACTCCTCAGAAACCATTAGAAACCAGGATTTGACCAATAAACAAAACAATTGACAAAACTTTGAACTATGAAATATATTAAACTTTGGTGAGCTTCAGCGGGGTAATGCCATATAGGAGCTCCCTCACAAATACCCAGGGGTTCAATTGGGCTGGGGCTGTCCGGGGCTAAGCCCGGCACATAGGACGATGCTCTGACGTCATCACCCTCACACATTTGTCATATGTTTACAAAAAAAACGATATATATGTTAAGACTTTTCTCATTCTTAATATAGACTATATTTAGGGTCGATATGTGTTGACCTTTAAAATAGCAGATCGCTGTGACCGGATATAGTTTGGCTTAGACCCCGGCCCCACGAGGACGCATACAGTAAAACGCATACGCAAAAAAGTCTTCCGTTCACACGCATTCGATTCATTAACGTGTCCGTTCACACTAGACCGCTGGAAACGCTGTAGTACATATGCCAGGCCTGTAAGTGGCGCTGCTGCCGCCACAAAATACACCAAAAGCAGCGAAGAAGACCCCGGAGCATGGTTGTCATGGTTGCCCTTCTGTTTATTCCCCCCCCCCTCCCCCCACAGAGCGGAGCAAGGCAACGAAACTTAAAATAAGAAGCAGCATTTTATGGCACGCTATGCATGGGGCCACCTTGAGGGGGTTTCCCGAAATGTAGTTTCAGTAAATGAAAGGGTGTTTCATGTTGTCGTTGCTGTGGACCTTCTTAATACCTTGGAAAATGCCGTTTAATACTTTTTAATAGCCTTAATTTTCGCTAAATTGATTTATCAACTTTTAATACTTTTTAAGACCCTGCGGACCCCCTGATATGGTGCTTATTTTACATTTGAGCTGACTTTTCTTTGTGTTATTTCAGATTCCTTATTCCAGGTAACTGCATTTATTTTTCTATGGAATTTCTTTCATCGATAGCCTTGAAACCAACAAGCTAAACGCAAAACAGGCCTGGCAACAGGAACCAATGGGGGAAGAGCCTATCAGAGAATACATTAGCGATTAGAACATAAAACTAATTATGTAAAATCTTCTTTATATTTTCTGCAGCTCGGCATGCAGCAGTGTCAGAGAGCCGGAACATGAAGTAAACAGCTGAAGCACATTAAAGGCTCCTGAAAGAGGGGGCAAGACGGAGGGGGAAGATCTCCTTTAGCGGTCCTCAAGGGCTCAATTACGGGGCCGGTAAGTGTTTTCGGCCCGAGTGCGGGAGAATGGAGAGGAGGATCGAAAAACTGCTCCCGGGGGAGCGATGGAGAGTACGCCCACCTCCGAGCACCAGGTGGAAAGAGGAAGAAAAAAAAAGGCCCGGGTGAAAGTGCTAACATCGGGGAAAGAAGACAATTTTCTCTGCTCTTAGACTTTTTTGCGGATCAAGCAGCTGCTCTCTGCTGCGTCCATCAAACCAGTTGAGTGTGTCTGTGAGTTGACTCAGATATCTTAAGTCATCATCATTTCAATCAGCCTCGTGCAGCGTGTTTCCATCACACTCAGAATCTCACTCACAGTCCCTGCCATGTCAGTAAATACAACATAAAGTGGCTCAAGGCGCTTTCAGCAACTATTCCTTATTTGACACTCGCTGGAATTATTAGACCTGACGTTTTACGATGATATCCACTGGGAACGAGATTGTGTGAGTGTGTGTTCGAGATGAATAGATGGTGGTGGAGAACTGTTGATGTTTTCAGGCGTCAGTGGTGGGCAGATCCCAGATCAGAGCCATACATCAATGCCAGATAAGCATTGACCTACACAAATGGAGCATCTTTCCACCTTTTAAGAGAAGCTGCAAATCGCCGCAGGATCTGTAGGCCTGTCATGATAACGACTTCTGTTGAGCAACATATTGTCCCAGAAAACCAACTGTGATAAACGGCATCAAATCATGACCCTTTCATTACTCTGATATGATCATATTTAAGAATAATATTGAGAAGATCCATTCCAAAAGCAATGAACATTTCATTCTTAAGAATATTCACATGTTGTAATAAGAATATTAAAATACCCCAAATAAATGGTTGACTTTCAGGATTTGTCATGGACATATGCAATTTCTGCATAATCTTAAATCTAATAATGGCCATGAAACGGTGTATTCTGAAATCAAGCACAACAGCTAACCACAGCAAAACCACAACCATATATTGTACGATAAGTTGATCGTGTAAAAACGATCAAAGGCTGTGTCAATATATATCGTACAATACGTTGTAACTTTAAAATAATCCATCTCACTGTTTGTCGATAACGTAATGCAACGTATTATTGAAGTCCTTTCCATATACTGTACGGTCAATTGATAACATTAAAATGATCAAAGGATGTGTCCTTAATGGTAAACTACCTGACAACACTAAAATGATCAATGAACGCCTCAATATATTATATCATATGTCGATAACGCAAAAAGGATCCAGGCCATATCCATATATCAACAAATAACTTGATAACGTAATAAGTATTTAAGTCATGCTCATATATTGAAGGATAATATGATAACATTAAAGTTATTGAAGGTCGCGTCTATACATCTTAAAATATGCCGGAAACTTAAACATGTTCTAGTTCTTGTCCCTATGTCGTCCCGTGGTTAGATTAAGTGAGAATTGTCATGTCCATAAATTATACAGTCAGTTGATAATGTTAAAAGTATCAAAGGTAGTGTCAAAAATGTTACGAATACGTACAAAACTTTAATATTATAGATGGACTTATGTAAAATATATATAAAGTATGTTAAGTAGGTAACGCAAAAATATCTTGCTCAATTCCATATATAACAAATTACCTTGTTCATGTTCATTTATTCTATTAATTATCAATGACGTAAGAATGATTTAAGTCATGTAAAGATATCGCACAATAAGTCGATAAAAAAAAGAAAAAGATCAAGACCTTTTCCATAGATTGTTCGATAAGCCATTAATGTAAAAATATATCTAGATCATGATCATATAGAGTACAATAAATCGATGACAGAAAAATTACAGTTCATGTCCATATATATATATTAGGATAAGTCCCTTGACAGGCCTGTCTGCTGTCTTCTGACACACACACACACACACACACACACACACACACACACACACACACACACACACACACACACACACACACACACACACACACACACACACACACACACACACACACACACACACACACACACACACACACACACACACACACACACACCACACACACACACACACACACACACACACACACACACCACACACACACACACACACACACACACACACACACACACACACACACACACACACACACACACACACACACACACACACACACACACACACACACACACACACACACACACACACACTCACTCTGAAGGCGGTGCCCTCCTCAATGATGGTGGGCAGCTGAGAGAGGCAGATGTCCACGGCCAGGTCCCACGCCTGCCTGTGGAGAGGAGACACACAAACAACACACATTACGACATGCATTATAATACATTTTCAGAATAACATGAAAAACACAAACTGTGTTCCTATCTAAAGGGTACAGAGCATAGGTCATGGCTTTCCTTTTCCCACTCCACCACGCTCTCATTACCATTCTCCTCAGCTCATCTTCTACAGCACATATACCTCTAAATTCCCATCCGAGGTCCTGGAGAGGGCAGCAAGGAGCCTTTAATCCCTTTCTAAACGCCAGCATTCTCTCATGGTCATCATATCTAATTCATGGGGTTATGTAACTCACATCAAGCCTTTCTGTCTGTCTCTCTTTCCTTCCACTTTCCAGCTCTTTTTTCCTGCGGCAAATTTCGCTCAGGGCCTCGATGGGGCTTTTTCCCTGTGTAATGTGATGCTGAACGTGTTCATTCCGTCTGAGACTCATTGTGCTGCTTAAACAGCTTTTACATAAGCTGGGAGCAATATAATAGAGTTTCACTCTGAGTCGACAGCACGGCGTTAAAGGAACAATTAATCCACTGCTGTCATGCAAACATGTAGACATCTGGTAGCGTCTGGAGCTGATATAAAGCATTGCTGTCTGATTGGAAAACTAGACGCTCACTTAAATCCTTCAACCGTTTTACATTTTAAAAGTCAAGAAACAGGCAATTTATACCTGACTTCATGTCAACTGGTTCACAGGAGCATGTTCAGGCTAAACGGGAGCATTTTTTTATTCAGCTGTCGCAGCAGCATTCAACACTTTTAGCCTTCCAGCTAAAATGTCAACAGTGCAAAACACATTACTGCATTATTAAGAGCAGGTGGTACTCATTTTGCTGCCATATAAAAGTGTGACATAAGAAAAAGGACACTGTGAAAAAAATCTGATTGATGGTTAAACCTAAGATTATAAAACAGATTTGAAGCAAATCTGATGCTATCAAGCTAAAATAACATTAAAGAACAGGCATGCTACATTGAGATTTAAAGGGGACCTATCATGCAAAAGGTACTTTTTGATGTCTTTTATACATAAAGCCAAAACCCTCTCTTTTCCTCCTTACCCACATCTCTAAAAACGGGGGTGATCCAGATTTGCTGCAGATATGACGTAATATCTGAAATGTGGGCTGGCTTTACACCCACCTATCAGAAACGTCACTATCAGAAACAATGTGCGACGTGTTCTGGACGTAATATAGTCTTTGTTTACATTAGCAAGTATCGCTAATACTTAGAGCTAACGCTGTACTGGAGAGAGTATGTGTATAAAAGCAGGAAATAAAAAAAGGAACTCACCTTGTGGTAAACCCACAAGAGAAAAAGCATTTGAGCTCCATACTGTTTCAGAAATAATCCTTGATGTGGTTTGGAACATGATGGCATTTAATCACGGCAGCATTTAGCTGTATCTCCGGTAGAATTCTGAGCAGGCATTAGCTCCTCCTCCTCTTTTTTTTTTTCAAGCTAAGGACCCCGAACCTGCAGTTCTCTCACAGGTCTGCTGAAATAGGGGGATATGAGGGATGTCTAAAATGCATGATCTTTGGTATTTTGAGCAAAACACATCATAGATATGTTTTTATATATTTTTATATTGATCTTGAGCTGAGACCCATAATATATGCCTAAAAATTGCATAATAGGAGACCTTTAAGTGTAATATTTAGTGCATTATTCTTCTGTATTTAATTTATTTTGCTGAGCATCTGCTACTGTGAGTATTGTTAACAGCAGCGGCGCCAGTGGTACGTATTCATTGCAATGGAAAGTCATTTACTACATCTCTAAAAACGGGGGTGATCCAGATCCAGTATCCCTTTGGTAGGGTTTTTGTGAGGGAAAATATGCATAGGTAAAGATGAGAGCAGCGCTACGTCACTGCCTGGTGTCATCAAGGTTTAAACAAATAATTGATGCCAAGTGGAAAAAATGGTTCCATTGTGCCAAAAAACTGCCATGTTGTGTCTTGCAAAAATGTGTCCAAATGACAGAAAAAGGGACGGATGTCATTGTGTCATTGTTCCGTAACTAATTAATGTATTTGGCTTGTTGTGTAGATGAACAAATGCATCGTATTCCTAACTTTTTTTATTCACTGCAAGTCAAATAACAGCCGATATTTTCACCCAAAATTGGGCGGGGCCATAACCTTGATGGAAAGTACTCAGATGTGATTTTCTCATGTATGTTGGTTATACTTTGACAACACCAGCTGAAAGCCGATTATTAGAAGTTATCCAACCTCAGATCGAAGTGTTCCGTGACGGTGCCGCCCCCCCCCCAGTCATATAGTGTTTTGACTGCTGCTAAGTAAATGACTTCCACTCAATGGAAAACTCATTCTCTCTCCATCACACTTAACTTTTTTCAGAATGTCATCTACTTTGATTCTCCGTGATGAAGTAGTGCTGAATGTTCTTATCTCCCATGTCTGTGTATCTTTTATCAAATGTGTAATGTCCGCAAAATGCTGTGTCACTCATCTGCATTTGTACATTTTCATTACATAAGCTCTTTTCCTCCCTTTCGGGCTCAGTGTTACTGTGTGCATATCTGTCTATTATCCTTTGGTCTGTTTGTTTTGTAGGATTTTTTTATATGTAATAAAAAGTTAATGGCACAAAACCTAATTCACTCATTATTTGTACCTAATGGAACCTTATCTGTATATTTCCTATTTATACAACCACGTATCACATATACAACAATCTGTATATACTGTAACCCATATATGTGAATATACTGTAAACACATATGCAATTCAACAATTGAGCAGGCTGTCAAATACATATCTTGTATTTTTCTTATTTTGTATCGTGGTACATTTTTAGGTCCTCTCGAGTAATTCACAGATATGAGAAAGTACATTGAACGTTTTAGTCCAAATGAAAATTCAACTAAATAAACAGGTTTCAAGTTAAATGTAAGACTTTTTAAGACCTTTCTGAGACCTCATGAATGCAAGTTAAGATCCATTGTATTTGTTTATGTTCTAGCTGAGTCAGTCCCTGCAGCAATTCTAACACTTTCATTTCTAAGGTCCCTAATTGTAGGTCTTAATACAAAGAAAGCAAAGTACAATTAAATCCAAGTCAAAATCTGGATCTAGGGGGGAGTTTTATGTATGTGCTTGAGTTAATTCTGACCAGAGCAGAACAACGTTATCTGATTGCAGTGCGTATCCAGACCAGCAAATATAAATAAATTCTGCTGTTTTTTTGTAACTGAGCTACAGTAAAAGTTTTCCAACAAATATCCATCCCTGTTGGTGTTTACGTAATCCTACAGTAAAGAAACAAGCAGAGGGAGCCGCACCGTGAGAGAGGACAGCATCAACTGTTGATGACTGCCAATACCAATGAGTAACTCATCACCAAAACCTGTCTGTGTGTGAGTGTGTGTGTGAGTGTGTGTGTGTGTATGTGTGTGTGTGTGTGTGTGAGCACAGTGTGTGAGATGAGGGGACGGCTGACTACAGTGGAGTGCAGGGCACCAGTTGGCGGCTGACTCAGCTATTTTTCCTGCTGCCTGCAGAGTGGTGCATCGCCCTCACAAACACATAAAGTAGACCCACTCTTAACGGCCCACTCGGGAGTAATCAGCCATGGGTTTATCTGCTCTGCCTTATTCTGCTACATTTGAATAACAATGGCTGTTTGTGTTAGGGCACCAGCATCGATCAACCCGGGTCCCAAATTGCTTAACACCCCCTCTCCATAGCCCCACCCCCCCTCCTGCCCTTCTAGGCTGATTTAAACTTTTATTTTTCTACTCGCCTTTTATCTCTGACACTTCCATGTTTTATTGTTCCCTCAGTCTCTTTTCCAACACTCTTAAAACATCCCTCTGTCGTTCCTGCTTAATACTGCATGTGCTGCTGTGAAACAAAGTGCAACTCCCAATTTCTTTTGGCAGTAAAATGCAATAAAGACAACAATCTACAAGAATGGGTACCAGCCGAGAAGAGAGAGAGAGAGAGAGAGAAGAGAGAGAGAGAGAGAAGAGAGAGAGAGAGAGAGAGAGAGAGAGAGAGAGAGAGAGAGAGAGAGAGAGAGAGAAGAGAGAGAAGAGAGAGAGGAGAGAGGAGAGAGAGATAGTCGATAGAGAGAGAGAGAGAGAGAGAGAGAGAGAGAGAGAGAGAGAGAGAGAGAGAGAGACTACTGCCTGCTGGAGGAGCAGTGTTCTTTACAACCAGTGATGCCAGGGTGTTACACAACAAGTCGCTCCTGCAGGCGAATAGAGTGAGAGCTCTATCTTATTTTTTACACAAGCCAGATAATGAGTGGGAGAGATGGAGGGAGGCATTTATAGAAGAGCAAGAAGAGAAACAACAGATAGTGGCAGAAGTATTTGTGTAACTAAAGGGAGATAGATGATGGGAGAATGTTTCCAGCACGGGGTGGAGGAGCATGAAAAGTCAGCCATTAAAGTTTGAAGCTAATTGTATTGGAATACAATGGGCATTTCGTCTGTTAGGAGATTATGAGTCATTTGTTTATTTTATTTTCAGATACTTCCATTAATTACAAAATGTAAAGGCTTATTGTAGGTTTTCGTCTTTTCCATGCTTTCTTATATCTGTGAATACCTCGAGATGACCTAATTATGTTAATATAAATAAAGTCAATGGATTTTAAGCGTTTCTGTTTGTCCGTTTATCATTTTTGTGATGAGAAAATATGGGCAAATCAGAAAAGAAGCTCTGTTTTATTAATAATTTACAAAGGATCATAGTATATTATAATGCCCATAGTTTGAATACATTATATTATTATTTTGTAATTAAATCATAATATTTGTCATTATATGAATCAATGATACTATTAGGTTACCCTAATCGGTAAATGGGTGATTGACGACAGCTAGAGATGTCTGCGCCTCACTGAGTCTTTAATATCCCCAGAGATAAGGTTATTGTGTAGCTTTCAGTCAAAGGTGGAGGTATAAGGCTGCAGGGTGTGTGTGTGTGTGTGTGTGTGTGTGTGTGTGGGGGGTTAAGAGTAAGCGATGCCCATCCTCCATGCAACTTGTCTCGTGTCGCTCAGTCTTTATTCAGGCTGCTGTCAGTGAAGATGCTGCAGGATGAGCCTTGCTGTGAAGCAGCGAGAAACACGTACAGCAACACGTACAGCAACACTGGAAATCCTCAACTAACAGAAATAACTGAGACACAAATATCAAGGAAATTAAAGCATGAACGAGGTGTGTGCATATGCTTTGCAGAAGCAGATTAAACACCTACATGGTTTGGCTCACGCTTCCTCAACAGTATTTATTTTGAGAGTTGTGACTTATTAACACATTGACTTCGTTTTTCTGTTTGATATAATGAATGCGGCTTGGGGAATAAACGTTAACTACAACATTGGCTGTGTGTTTAAATGGATGATGGACTATGTTTGTGCTTCTTTTAAAAACTTGAATTGATTGGTGTGACTAAGTGGAAAATGACGCTATATATCCGAGGTGATGCTTCAGGCGGTTGTATTGCTTATTTAAGTGCAGTAAAAGGAATCCTATGAGCATGAGCTTTCTGTGCTGAATGACGGCTCACTTCCTGTTGGCAACATACAGTAGCAGATATATTAACTTGAAACAAAACAGGTAAGTACAGTAAGTTCGGTATTTGTATCTATGTATTATCTTGGTTACTCTCACATTATTTTCACAGTTCAATAATCGGACATTTTGGCAAACACACTACAGTACATTGCTGAGAGGATTGATTTGTGTCAGGCCTGGTCATTTCCGAAGAGAAAACTAAATTAAAGTGGACCTATCATGCTATATTTGAAACATATATTGTAGGGCCATACCTATATAAAACATGTCTGTGAAGCTTTTTAGTTTTAGTTTAGTTTTTTTCATGCATTTTGGCCATGCCTCATTTCGCTCTATTTGCTTTTTTTAGCCCTATTTTTGCAAGGGCCGATTCGGCTTTTGTGGCAGACTACAGCGCCACTTACAGGCCTGGCATATGTACTACAGCGTCTCCAGCGCTTACGAGCGGTCTCTCATTCCCCTGATAGGTGGAGAGTTGCCCATATAGCCGGAGCACCCCTTTTCTGACGTCAGAAAAATTCAAATAATAATCAGCTCTGTTGCAGCCCCGTTTTTAGAGATTTAGGTACGGCGGAAAAGAGAGAGGGTTGTGTTTTCTGACACTCGGTGAGTTCCCTGACACACCGGGGACACATATTCATGTATAAAAGACGTACAAAAGTGCATTTTGCATGATAGGTCCCCTTTAAGTATTACAAGCTACGCTAACTTTATGAAATGCTTCAAATTTCCTGTCACCTAAGAATATGTGGTTTGATCTGTTTACAGTTAATATGAGATCATTATGCAGATGAGAAACATATTTGGCATTCCATTACTTTTTTTAGGGAGTTTGTAAGTTGACGCCAGTTTAAAATGTTGATATAGTTTAGCTAACTTTAGCAAAGGTGTTGTGTGATTTTTGTTGCTGAGAAATAAGCCTCATCTCAATACCCTTCCTCGACTCCTCTCTTCCCCTCCTCCGGGACTTGACCCGGAAATCGATCAAGACACGCCATTTTGAAGGACGTCCCAATAGCTGAAATGCACACGGAGGAGTCGAGGAGGGGTGAGGGAGGAGGGGTGCGGGAGGAGATGAAAGGGAGGATACACACGAGCAGACTACGCGGAAGTGTTTTCACTACTCGCGTATAAAAGCCCCGCCCCCACCTTCACAGCTGGTCCATTTCAACAGAGGAAAACCGACAACTGGAAGATGAGTGGAAAAGCGTCATATAAATGTATAAGTGCTCACAGCTCCGTGGGAATTATTATGTGCTATTCATTTCTAAAAGGCTTTCACATTACTATAATTATATATTTATTTAAATGTAGGCTACATTTTACACCAAAACGGAACACAAAAGCAGGACCAACCATCATACATTGAATTCCTTGACTAACAAGAGAAAGATTCCTTCATTTAAATAAATATTTAACCAGAAATGGGCCGGTTCTAAAGGGTTATTCAGTTAAGCCCGATGAGAGGGTATACAGCTGTGCGCATGTCATCATTAACAGACGTCGTTTAAAAGTGACGTTTGAGTGAACGAGGACATCCCAATTAATACCTGAGGACTCCTCTGTCCTCCCGTCACCTCCTCGTGTCTCTCGCTCGCATCTTACGGAGGCGGAGCTAAGACGTAAGGAAGGGACGCGAGTGAGGGAAAGGAGGAGTCGAGGAGGGGTATTAAGATGGGGCCATAGACCAGTCACGGTCAAAGTTCATTTTCTACAAATGTGTCCGTTTGAATTTTTTTTTTTTTATTGTCAGAATGTCCGTAAGATGGATTGTGAAAAGTGGGTCCAATTTTCACTTCTGAGACTATGGGGCCGAAAGATCAAAACCTGTGCTCAAATTGACGTCTCCCAATCAAATAAAAAGACTCACGTGACACACATACAGGAAGTTGTCTCGGAGTACTTTGTATACTTTTGTTTACCGTTTGTTTTGTTTAGCAGATACAATATAAAAATATTGGAGTTGATAGGAAGCACTTTTGAGGAAACAAGTTAGCAGTGAGGCCTGCTACTAGTTTGAAACTGAATGCACAGAGCAGATAATAAAAGCAAGTTTCATCTGTAGTGCCAGTATAGCTTTAAGCTTTGTAGAGCAGGGCAGAAAGCAAAGCGGGGAGTATCTCACTTTGGCTAAACATGGTCTGTTTATCTAATTACCTATGGTGATAAGAAACATTACTCAACAAACTAACTGAACACAAAGTGCATTGTTACCAGTTGTTTTTTAAAGTAGATATCTCTTCTGTAAAAGGAGTTTTTATTCAATAAAAGAGGCAATCACTTTTTGGGTAAATAAACCCAGAGGCAGATTTGCCATGTGCTCAGAAGTGCCTGAGTTGAATACATTTATTTTATGCCTCCCTGGCTGTTAAAAAGTAAGCATTCAGATTATTAAATACTAAGTATACCATAACAAACTAAATGCGTCTCATCAGAGAATATTATCTGTTAGGTCTGTTCATCCTTTAACTTCAGTGTTTTAACTAACTTCCTCTTGCCTTCTGCTCTACAAAGCGTCTGTGTCTCTGTGTGTCTCTGTGTGTCTGTGTGTGTCTGTGTGTGTCTCTGTGTGTCTCTGTGTGTCTCTGTGTGTCTCTGTGTGTCTCTGTGTGTCTCTGTGTGTCTCTGTGTGTCTCTGTGTGTCTCTGTGTGTCTCTGTGTGTCTCTGTGTGTGTCTGTGTGTGTCTGTGTGTCTGTGTCTCTGCGTGTCTGTGTCTCTGCGTGTCTGTGTCTCTGTGTCTCTGTGTCTCTGTGTGTCTCTGTGTCTCTGTGTCTCTGTGTGTCTCTGTGTGTCTGTGTCTCTGTGTGTCTCTGTGTGTCTCTGTGTGTCTCTCTCTGTGTGTGTCTGTGTCTCTGTGTCTCTGTGTGTCTCTGTGTGTCTCTGTGTGGTGTCTCTGTGTGTCTGTGTCTCTGTGTCTCTGTGTGTCTGTGTCTCTGTGTGTCTGTGTCTCTGTGTGTCTCTGTGCGTCTTTGTGTGTCTGTGTCTCTGTGTGTCTGTGTGTCTGTGTCTCTGTGTCTCTGTGTCTCTGTGTGTCTGTGTCTCTGTGTGTCTCTGTGTGTCTGTGTGTCTGTGTCTCTGTGTGTCTGTGTCTCTGTGTCTCTGTGTGTCTGTGTGTCTGTGTCTCTGTGTGTCTGTGTCTCTGTGTCTCTGTGTGTCTGTGTCTCTGTGTCGCTGTGTCTGTGTCTCTGTGTCTCTGTGTCTCTGTGTGTCTGTGTGTGTCTCTGTGTGTCTGTGTGTTACGTGCCGTAGTGGGTGCTGGTGTTTGGGTGTGTGTGTGTCTTTCTCTCTCTCCCTCTATATTGTCTCCAGGTGAAGCTTCTCCTCAGGTGCTCCCAATCACCAATCAGGGCCTCCATAAAGGACCTGAGAAAAGCTGCAGTCACTCTCCCCTTCTTCTCTGGCTGCATGGGTGCTGCATGGTGTCTATGTCTCTGTGTGGGACCTGATTATATTTGTATCTTAATTTGCTTTGCAAGTTGGCTGGTGAGCCCGTTTTCTGCTTGTCCATCATTGGTAATTAAACCTCCCTTTGTGGCTTCAGAAGATCAGTTTCCGCTCTTTTTTCTCGTGCCTGGTCCTTTCTGTGCTTTGTTACTTCCCTTCGTACCCCTAGATTAGGAGGGAACGTAACACTGTGTGTGTGTCTGTGTCTCTGTGTGTCTGTGTCTCTGTGTCTCTGTGTGTCTCTGTGTGTCTCTGCGTGTCTCTGTGTGTCTGTGTCTCTGTGTGTCTCTGTGTGTGTCTGTGTGACTCTGTGTGTCTCTGTGTCTCTGTGCGTGTGATGCTTTGTTGTGTGTCTTACCACATGGCGTGCATGTATGTGGGGGGCAGGCGGGGGCTGCTGACCGGGGTGCAGTTGTAAGACCTCATTATCCTCTCGGCCAACAGGAAATTGCGAAACAAGCTGGCCACCAGCAGGTCCTGACGGAACAACTTCTGGAACAAATCTGAGACAGAAAGGCAGAATGGAAATGAGGCTTCACACCAGAGACAGGAAAGGACTAGAAAACTAGAAAAGACAGGACTATACAACTAATTCAACCAAGATCAGTGCATATATGCAGGGGAAACACACGTAAAGAGGCATTGGTCTCTTGTCGAGTAAGCTTTCATTTTCTGGTGTTTTGCGTTTGAGCATGCTAGTGCTTATTTTACAGCAGTTAATTAGTTTTTCACATTTGTTACTATTCCAGTTTATCTTATAAAGAGGCCCTTTTATGCTTTTTCCCTTTTTTTTTGTGTTTTGGCCAAAATGGACATTGACATCATAGTACTGTATAACTCTTGTGCTTCTTTTGGCTAGCGCTCCAACACATTGTACAAGATAGGCTAATGGGGGGGACATTTCTGACACAAATCCAAGCGGTTGACCAATCACAACAGAGCTGGCCAGCTAACCAATCAGAGCAGACTGGGCTCTGGTTTCAGACAGGGGGTGAAAAGAGGTGCTGCAGCACAGGCAGTATGAGAAAAATAAAGAGCTTTTTGAACATGAAAGCATAGAGACAGACATGTGACAGGGGAGACACGAAATACTAATATGAACCTGAAAATCAGTTTAAAAGGACCAATTTAAACAAAGTTTGTTTCATGATGTTCTTCAAATTTCTGGGTGTTTAGAATAGAGTCTGGTAGCTTTGAGGAGAGCATTTTCATTTTTTAAATAAATCCAAAGATTGTGCAAACGCTGATTTTTTAAATGATATATTCACTTCACAGGTGTTTCCATCATTTCCAAAGAGTTGGAGCAAATCAATATTAAATACCACTACAAGACCATTTATCTCTGGAAGGAATTTTGATTGTAACCTTTCCCACTGAAGACAAAAGCCAGTTAGTGGGAAAGACAAGGCCTGGAATGAGTGAATGAAGATAAAACAGGGCAAAAGGAGGACGTTTAATTAATTGCCACTTTGGAGAGATAAACAGGCTAGTTTCATATGCTTACAGAATATAGAGGACAGTGATATGCAGATTGGGTCCTGGTCACATTTTCAACAGCTCATTCATGTATTAACTTACGCCCCTTTCACACCAACGCGTTTTCAGCTCCGGCTCGGAGCTGGAGCCTGAAAAGTACCGGTTTTTCCTGTTCACACCAGAGGCGCCGTCTCTTAGCTCCGGAATCCGGTTCACTTCCAGCTCCAAAAAATTCGGTCTAGAGGCAAGAGCTTCGAAGCTAAGAGGCGGCGTCGCTTATGTCTCTCTTACGTCGAGGCGGGTTGAAGTAGATGCTAAGACCACAAAGAAGTCTTGCATTTCGCATGTGATGTTTGTAAAGTTCCAAGTAAAGTCGTCCCTTGTAAAGTCGTCCGATGCCTTCCATTTCGTTTCGTAAGAGGATAACCAAAGCGAACAGCGCTTTAATACAATCGGCCATTGTTATTGTTGTCGATGTGAGGGATTTCCGCGCGGTTTGGATTTTATGAAACAGGCACGTAAACGGTGACGTCATGACGCAGCAGCGGCAGCTCTGGGCGGTGTGAACAGAGCGGGAGCAGAAAAGGGAAACCGGAGCTGAACCAGAAAAGCTCCCGCTCGGAGCTAGAAAGGGAAAAGCGCTGGTGTGAAAGCCGCATTATTCACGTTAATGGGGCCAGGCCAGTTCCATGCCAATCTCTGGTGTGTGTGTGTGTGTGTGTGTGTGTGTGTGTGTGTGTGTGTGTGTGTGTGTGTGTGTGTGTGTGTGTGTGTGTGTGGTGTGTGTGTGTGTGTGTGTGTGTGTGTGTGGTGTGTGTGTGTGTGCGCGCGCGTGCGTGTGGATTAGGTGTGCAGTGCCTTCATTACAGGGATTCTCTCTCTTTCTGGGACGCTTCATGAACAGCAGAGCCTCAGGGTTTAAAAGGCTTTGGCAGCCATCAGCATTGTCACATTTCCATTCGAGCTGAGAAACAGTTTGTCTCATACGAGTCTTTCAGTGTGAGTGTGAATGTGTGTGTGCTGCATACAAAAGACAGGTGAGCAATTAGATATGTGCTGCATGCAAAAGTCACTGTAAAAAAAGAGGATAGTATGAAGGCCTGTGGGTAGTGTTTAGTCTCAGTGTGGGTGAGTTTTGCTCGAGTGTGTGTGTTTAACTTGCTTTTGCGGTCGCCATGTTGCTGTTAGAATGATACCCCCAATTACTGTGCTAGAAACTCTAAACACAATTAATCTTTTTGAAACGCCAAACTGCACTTCTGGCTTTTTATATCAACGTCTTCACTATTTTCAACCTCGAGGGATGTTCTGGAAGTTTAGTACTGCTGATGCTTCACTGCTGTTTGTATTCAGGTGCCCTAAATTGGGCTCCCTGAGAGCTCAACACGCTGTCATTCTATATTTTATCCCAGGCAACATGGCAACAAATAAAGATTGTTTTCAACAGTCTTAAAGCGTTGTGTTAAGTGTTTCTTTAAAAGTGTGACTATCACTTTCAACACTGGTAACAGCAGTATTTGGGGCTTATTTTCAAAGTGTTGCTTATTGTTCTTATTAGGCGTGCACAATTTGATAACAAATAAGTAGAGAGGATTAGTTTGACCAATATTCCAATTCACGATATTGAGCTTTTGATTATTTTGGAAACGTTACTCACATGATCAGGTAAGGACTCAATATTAATTTAAATTGTACTTTAACACTACTTTGGCCTTAACCAAATATTGTGCTTCATGGTCCAAATTGGGATTATGATACTATTTTGATTCCATCTCATTCTTAAAGAACTCATGGTATACTATTGCCCCACAAGTGCATTGCGTTCCAAAAACAAGTGGTTACTAGAGCCTCTAAAATCATATGTGTTAGTAAGTACAATGGGAGCCAGAGCCTTCAACTATTGAGCTCCTCTTCTGTGGATATAGCTTCCAGTTTGTGTTCGTTAGGAAGACCCCCTCTCCACAATTAAGAGTGGGCTTAAGGCTTGCCTTGAGTCAGCTCTTTTTAAAATGTATACATAAACAACACCTATTGTACACATGTCCGTCCTAGGAGAGGGATCCTCCTCTGTAGCTCTGCAAGGTTTTTTCCATTTTTACCACATTCATTTTGGGGTGTTCCTGGTCAGATGTGAGGGTCTGAGATAAATGTCAGTGTTTCCCCTATATACAAATAGCGGCGGCTATTATTAAAATAATAATAAGTGGTGACCCTTTTTGATTGTTTGTTAGGTGGATTTGTAGTATTTGTTCAATAAAGGTGTATTTTGCTAAATCTTGAGACATTGCCACTGTATGCACTAGGCCTCAAGAGCCTTTCTTGTGCTGGCAGACACATAGAAACATATTGGCGGGGCGCACTTTGCACGCACTAAAAAATTCCACGCGCTCCACGCTCACATTTTGCCTTAGCACCGCTGCTATGACTCCATCCTAGGGGAAACACTGAATGTAATCCTTTCAGTTTGTGTTCAGGAGGCAGACATCGTCTAACAGTCAACAGTAGGCTCAACACTTTCCTTCTTGATAAAGCTTATAGTAAGGGCTGGCTCAGGCCCCTAGTTGTGCTGAAATACGCTCAGTCTGTCTGGTATAAGCTTAGACTGTCGGAGGACTTTCCCCTTTCATTTTTTTCACATCTTTTTTTATTTTCTGTCTGCACTCATTCCCCCAAAATGCATTTTAGTACCCGTGGCATCATCCCTGGAGTTTGGGTCTCTCCCACCTGGAATGTTGCCAGTATTAAAGGTTATTTCTTGATCATAAGTCATGGCTGTGCTGAACCCCAAGTTATCATTTTTTGCCGGCACCAGGAGGATCGTTTAATCCTGCCTGGATCCATCTGTTTTTTTTCTTCTATTTGTTAACATTGTCATTTTTATCATTTGGATTGTCTATTTGCAAATGTATCATCTTTTTTCATCTATACACACAACATCTATTGCACATCTGTCTGTCCTGGGAGAGGGGTCCCTCCTCTGTGGCCCTCACTGAGGTTTCTGACATTATTTCCCAGTTTATTTCAGGGAATATTTGTGAACTCTTTCCCTGTGCCTTGTTAGGGTCTAAAAACAGAGGGTGTGGTATTCTGTATAAAATGTAAAGCCTCCTGAGACAAATGTGTAATCTGTGATATTGGGCTATATAAATGAAATATGATTGGTTGATTGATCGATTAATTGTGCCGCACTAGTTTCTATCATTTATATTAATAGCGCACTCAAATCACTCAACAGAGATCTCGCACAAGTTAAAAAACTGCACATCACCACAAAATAATCCACTTTGTCGTAAACTATTCTATTAAACAGGTAGCCTCACCTCTGGGCAGCACGTTCCAGGCGATGGTGTCCGTGATGGCGGTGAAGATCCAGTTGAGCTCTCCGAGGGGAGTGCGTCTGTCGTTGAGCCTGCCAGGGATCCTGAACACACACACAACACAGATGGCAGTGTGTCAGCCGCGCTCACTGTACGTCCCATCACTGACTCAGAGCACCAAGTAGCAACTGCTCAGTAGTATTATCACAACTCATCTGAAGACATTTACATTTACAGCCACTTAGGCTCTGACTCACAGAGACTGACAATGAGTGCACGTTTGAATATTCATGCCTGCTTGAACAAAGAGGAGATACTGAAGGCTAAGAGCTGAGACTCAGAGCAGCGTGAGGCAGACAGGATGTGTCATTCTGTTTAGATTACAGGTACAGGTACGGAGACACACTAATCCCAGAGGCAGTGGTTATATGGAAAGTACTTTGACTTAAGAAGTATCAAGAATAACGTGCAAACATCCAAAAGTATGTTGTCAGCTGGTTGTTGCCTTTATTTAAGAAACACCAGGTCCAGTGGCTCTTCCTATCACCCAAATGCCCAAATATATAAAAATCCAGGTGCGTCATTAAAATATATGAATAATTCAAAATACATGTTCCTGATTTAAAACTAAATTATGTTTTGCTCTTGTTTGAGTCTTATCACTTCAGTATCATTAACCATGGTTATTACACAGATTAGTTGACTACTTGATTCTGATTGGTCAATTTGGAAACTCAGTGGTCTGCTGCTAAGGAAGCTCGAATCAAGGAATGTGCAGTCATATCAATCGGCAAAAATAAGTCTGATTTAATATCAGCTGTGGCCTAATAAACACATTCGTTTTTTAATAAGAAAACAACATTGAATACTTTTTGACTATTATATTTGATAATAATGGAGAGCACATGATTTGAATTCATAATGGCAGACAGACAGGAAGTCAACCGTAAAGAGAAGAAGTTATGGGCTCTGACAGAGTTTAAGTACCGGTTAATGGAAAATAAAATGTGAACAGACTTGCACAGTTACAGAAAACCGCAATCTGTTGTGCCTTCAATTTCAAGTTTGGTGCTGTCGCCGCAGTTCCAGCCATTGGTACGCAGTGGAACGGACTATTTCTTGTTAGCAGGGGCAAATCAAGGGGTAATATTATTAATAATTGCTTTCCGTTTTTAAATATGAACTTGTTGTAGGGCTACGCTGTCTGCATACATTTAATATGTCAATTTATTTTGGTTGCAATTAGTTATTATCACCACCCCAAGCCTGTGAGATGGGTAGATTGACTTTACTGATCATTGGCTAGAATAGTAGTGTATTAAATGCGATTTTACTATATTTGATCCATGACTAGGATACAGTATACAGACAACTGTGTGTTAGAGACATGAACTGTGTAAACCCAGTTATAATTCATCTATTTGAACAGAAACCACCGGCGCAAAGTCGGGTATTTAAAAAAACATATTTTAGTTATTCCGTAACTTGAGGGTGGGACGCCCTGGAAATGAGAGCAGGGAAATCTCTTTCAAACAGAGACCAAGATGATGCCAAAGTAATCACTGTAGCAAAGCCGAGAAAATGACCTTTACTGTACCTGGGATTCTGCCTGATAATGAACGTAAAGCCGTGAGAGAAGACAGAAAGTCAAGCTTGCTCACACATGTTACAGTTAATGTGAGTAAGTGAGTCATTCCTGTCTTGTATTGAAAATGGAGGATATGATTTAAAATTAATGAACAAATCGAGTGGTGCAGTGATGATGTATTTTTGTGGGCCTATTTTGAGGTTAGCTTAGCAAGGGCCACGTCAAGAAAAAGCAATGGGATTGTTCAATTGGATTTCAGAATATTGCAGCAAATAAGATGTTTGGCAAACATATTTATGATATTTACACGTATTCCGCAACAAAAAAAAATCCCACTTCTGATTTTTGGAGTGTCAATGTAACCGCCAAAAAAAGGCTAACATTAGGCTATAAGGCAGGGGTGGGGAACCTCCGGCCCCCGGGCGGTATACGGCCCGCGAGACCATTTGGTACGGCCCTCGAGGTAATTTATAAACACACGCAAAAAAGAAAAAAAATTAAAGACATCTAGACTGCAAAAAAATGAAACAAGTGAGTGCCTGTTCTTCCTGGCCAAGGTCAGGGTCCTTGAACACAACACGAGCCTAACGTGTCATCACGTGGTATGTGTCTCGTCTGACACAGAGCCGTATAATAGAGTGGCGAAGTCACGCCCATCTATTTCCGGTCCATGGGACCTTATTTCTGAAAAATAATGTATTGAAGTCAATGAAGAGAGAAAACGTATCTTTCGAACCCTTTTGAATTGTGCCATGAATTACACATATGATGTTTGTCAATCTTAAAAAGTCATTTCCATGTCAAAAAAGTCACAGTTTGTTGTAAACTGTTAAAATATAAGACTATGAAAAATACGCAACTAGAAAGACTACAAATCCCAGAGTCATGTAAGTGATGTCATAACTGATGTCACAATTGTTTTCCTCCGCTAAATATAAGAGATAGCTAAGATAAGATAACTTTAACAAGATGCCTGTGTGCTTAGTATCAGGTTGTTATCATACCTTGCTCGTTCTTTCGCTTCCCGTCTGATGAAAGGACCAGGAGTGGCTGGATCAAGTTAGCTACCTAGCTAGTAGCTAGCACGTTAGTTAGCATTACAGCCTTAGCCTTGTCATTTTTATTAGCCTTAATATAAAGTAACCCAAAATGTTAAACAGTAAGAGTAGTAGTCATATTTCGTGAACCCTTTGAAGAGTACTGTCACACCGGTGTGATCATTCTATAATACACAACTTAAGCCCGGGGGAGAAATGCTAACGCTACATTAGCATCGGCGATCTTTTCTACTTCATGCTATCTGCACAAATGGTTGACATAAACATTAAAAAGACCAGGCAATGCAGAGAGAAAGGAAGGCAGGCAGGCAGCTTTGCATGACATTCTTCTGGACGTGTTTCATTGTGGTGATAGCAGGGTTGCCAACTTTGGGTACCTGGCTGGAGTGAGATTTTGGTATCATGGGTTTGATTACACATATGTGCACGAAATGACTGCTATCGTGTCAGTAGCGGGACCTTAGCATATATAGGATATATATACAAATACACAACATTGGACACAGACTATAAAGGGCACACAGTTTCATTCACTAATGAAAATCAAACACATGTTTGTTTCCACTGTTTTATTGTGTGCCTGTCGCGATAAGCAATTAATTGACTTATCGTACGATAAATAAAAATGAACTCGATAAATTGCCATTTACATGAGGATGTGACTAGCAGTTTGAAAGGTTGGAAATGGTCATACAACGGTGCCGACAATATTATCGTTTATCGCAATAATTTCCGTGAAAATGTATCCAACAAAATTAATTATCGTGAGAGGTCTATACATGAAACACATACACAAACAAATCTACAGACTTACTCCAAACTGCCAAATATATTAATTAACACACTCTCACTCTCATATACTCTTTGACTCTATTTTGGCCTAGTAGAACAATAAGCAGCAGACTTTTACTTTTTTTCATTTCTACTGGATCTTAGATCTGCGCATGCGCAATACGGGGCGGCAGTGGTGGCCACGGAGTATTTGTGTTGGGTAATCTATGGTAGGGCCGCCTAACCCATACAGTGGTGGGGCTCAAGTCAGTATTTGCAATGTAATTACATACACGCTCCCCTTGACCGTGAAACGCCACGCGTGAGGTTTAGATTATTTCCCTGTCTCAATCCAAATTGAACTGTATGAAATAAAAAGGCACATTTGTCTTGTAGTAAATAAAAAGGGCGACCTGGAGCCAATCATGCAATTTCCCCACAGGTGAAAGAGTTGACATGCTGAAAACCCAACCCCTGCAGGGGGGTCTGGGGGGATTCTCCCCTAGGAGATCTTTTGAAATACTAACATAAAATACACATTCTGGTACTCTCTTGAGAAGAAAATAAATACATCTATTACTACACGACATATTAAAAAAAATGAATGCCATTTAGTTTTGTGTTACTTTGTTCTGAAAGCTGAACCTGCTGCTCCTCACAGAGAGAAGAGGAAGAGGCTGTGAATTACTTTACATTGTGGATAAGGGTGGATAGCCCCCATTGTTCTGTGTGTCAAAATGAAAGACAGCCCACACACCTATCAATCATCAAACCGTGGGGTCTTATTTCATTACATGTTGATTTCTATCAACACGTAATGTTGTATCGATGTATATAGATATTTACTACAGCAAAAGTATTCTCCGTCGGGACTTCCTGCAACAACACCACGCCGTTATCTTGATTCCGATTGGTCAGAAGACATTATCAAAGATGTTCTATTGAGAAGACGATCACTACGTGACAAAAGTTTTCAAAACCGTTTCTAGTCTTCGGTATTCTTGTTTTGGCGTGAGAATAGTTTGGGCAGCGTGAGAGCGTGAGATTGAGAGTGAAAGGCTATGTCACACGCCAGATGCGTCAGAGTTGGCAACCCTGGTGATAGTGAGGGTAGTCAATCGTTTTGTTGACAAGACAGTAGTGACGGCCATCTTGGTGACGTGTGTTGTTGTGCAAGACCAGAGATGTAGTTCATTGAGCGTTTCACACAAAAAAATGTGTTACTTCACAGTTTTACAGTATGACTGGCAAAATGATCTTTTAAATTGACAAACATCATTTGTGACCCGCTCTATCGAAATCAGTGGGAAGTCGCAACGGCTCATTTCAAAATAAACGTGGATTTGTGTAAAAAAATAGTTTTTCGGGGTTCGGGTGTTTTGTTTGATTTTAAATAAACAAATTCTTGGCTTTCAGAATATGAAACTTTTATTTCCAAAATCACACGATAAATACATGTTTGAAGTTTGTAAAGGGAAGATGACAGCTCTCACTCGCACCCTGCTGTTCCGCAGCTTCCCCTCCCTCCGGCTGAAATTATGAATGTAAGGCGTATAGTAATCATAGATAACACGGCAGGGTCCGTTACAGTTTGTTTTCATCTGATTTCAATTAAACAAAGTCTTGGCTTTCAGAATATTAAACTTGTTTCGGCAAATTCAGATGATAAATACAACTTTGAAGCTTG